CCACAAGGAACAGTTTTAGGTCCCATTTTATTTACAGTCTACATAAATAATATTTTCACATCTTTTTCATCTGTAAAACTAATAAGTTTTGCTGTCTGTAAATTTAAAAAAAAACTTTTTTTGTTCCTTTTGTAAATAATAGAAGAAACATTCCCGAATATAAGTCATAAATAGTAAAAAGAGATAATCTATGCCCAAAAATAAATGCAAAAAATAGCTGTTAATACTTGGGAACAACTATAGACTAATTTTTACGGTGGGATGCCCACAAAAACATTTAGACAATTTCTTTATCGATTTATATATTTAAAGAACATCTTAGACATAATACACCTAAACATTTTATATTATTCTTTAGTAGAATAGCGACTAAATTATCCTAAATTCAGTTTGGATGGAGCTGCGTAATGCCATTTAAAACAATTAGATATTCTACAGAAAAAAAAAATATTAAAAATTATTTATAGTAAAAAAATCGAGTCCAGTTCCGGATTTATATTTGTGTATCTTCCGTAGTTTTAAGTTTGTTTGAAAAAAAAAATATTTGAGAACCACGGTGGTTTAGGTCAAGAAAACAATGATAATTGACAATAATATTTTACATTAATAATGATAATTTACAATAATTATAATAATTTACATTGAAAGTTTACGAATCTTTCGTTAATTTGATTACTATTAATTTGTCAACGTTATTACCAAAACCAATCAAAAATGTAACAAGCTCATAAAGTTTTCTTCTAAAAGATATGTCAACGATTTTAAAATCACCGTTTTATTTGATTACAGCGACATTTGTTTTGAGCCACAGCCCTCTTGGTGGGCGTGAAACAATATTCAACAATATTCAACAGAAACACATATTTATTGTACGACACGTAGTATACGTGCATCCGATCCAGGTAGCCTGGAACTCAACTTTAATAAATAAATAGAGCGGAACGGTGGCAAATGTACCGAAAAAATCTAATAGCGAAACAGAAACCGAAACCAAAAATAGATCCATCCGTTCCGTTTTTGTTTCTAAGACACAACGTCTCACTAGTAAATCCACCAAAAACTATATACGAGGGTTGGTCCCTATAATATTTTTGTCGGTTTAAATTGCCAATACAAATACAAATGAAAAATAATTTTCAGAACTCTATGAAAAATTAGCAAATTGTCCGAGCAAGACTCGAACCTTCAACCCAACATCATAACCATAGATTACTAATGTGAATAGATGGGAAACTCAATGGTAAAATTCTGAGTCGATGTGCTGCCATCTATCAAATTGGAGTGGTACTAAAATTCAATATGGCCGCCACGAGCGGGCTTTTTGAAATTTAACTTTGTAGTAGCGCAAAAATGTAATGAAGAAAATCAAATAAAGCAAAAAAATTGGAAAAATATTTGACTAGTTTCAAATCATAAAACAACCATATTGACTGTTGTGATTTGAAACCAGTCAAATATTATGCCAATTTATATCTTTATTTGACTTTACTTCATTATATTTTTGCGTTAATTTCAAACTTGAAATAAAATGCAATTTATTATTTTTTTTTATTACAGTAAATTATCGCCGCATCATATAATTTGTCTATTTAAACATGGAAATACTTAAACAAATATGCATTTACACCGTTTAAATAATTAAATAGTTATAAAACAAACCTATCAAAAATGTTTTCTGTAACAAAATCAGTATATATATAAGTGCTCAAGATCTTTATAAAAGTTTTGCGACTTGGAGTGGCAAATAAGTTTGAAAAAATTGAAGTGAAGCATCATCCTTTTTTACTATCGAGGCAAATTTGAGTGTGGATAAAATTTGCCATACGGTTATTAAGTCGACTAGTTAGGTTGAGGAGCATTTCTTCATCCGATAATTGTTTTCGTGATTCATTTATGCAGCACTTGTAGTTATCAAATTTTTATTCATTATGTGGCCACCCTGATAAATGAATTTAACTTTTGAGTATAAATTAAACTTACACACGTTTGGACCCTTGACGATTTTAGGGTGTTTTCTTGTTTGATGTCAATGGCATTGAATCAATTTTTGATATTGATAGCTGAGGCTCAAATATTTCATCGATCGACAGGGTATTTTGGAGGGCCAACATTTTCTTTACAACAATGATCATTTAAAAACTAAAAACAAAAAGAAATTTAAATAACAAACCATTTATTTTAACACTGAATCAAAAACAAGTTTGTAAATATTACTTACCAAACAGTGATGGTGCATTTTTCTTAAGACACTTATTACAAATTATTTGGATATCCTTAATATGACGACTGCATATTTAATGTGGTATAAATTGCATCACTACCAATATCTGGGGGTGATTTATTGATTGTTGCTGAAATCCATCTTTCTATCGTTTGAAAACATGCTTAAAATTGGAAGGTGTAGAAAAATAAATCAAAATTCAATACACCTTCAAATACAATAACCAATAGCCATTTTAATTTCTCAAAGTTTGAAGTTTTGACGAGCTGACAACTGACATGACATTTCGATACGAGCGCCATCCCGTTAATTGGAGTGGTACTAAATAACCAACCTCATGTTTTTCCATTTGAGTTACCAGCCCCTGGTCATAACCATTAGACCACCGCAGCGATATACATCTATAGAGATATAGGAATATAATTGTTAATTTGAGTACCTATAAGAGTAGACTTCAACTTGTTGATTTATGGGATCTTTTCCCAATTTTTCAGCTATTTAATTCAGTAAAATTGCGTTTTTACCAGGAAAGTTGTAGGGTAGTTTTGATTTATTTCTTCTACGTGTTTTTAGGGGTGTTGAATCCGAATCTGGGGTTTGATAATAAAATTTAGCGACGTAACTAACAAAAATAGAAAGAAAAAAAGGTGTTTTGCCTATAACTCGAAAGCTGTCAACTTTTTCTAAATACCTTCACTATTCAAAATGACAGTACATAAAATTTTCTACAAATTTCACAGTTTAGGTTTTTTAATCGCGGTACCCGTTCGTGCTCAAGAGCTAGTAGAAAATTAGCGTATTTTGGCTCTCAGCAGATTTTTTCAACTCCAAAACTCTACTTTTATTAAGGGCTGTCAATAATTTAATTATTTTCAAATATTTATACATGCCTTATTTAAGTCGTAAAAAAACTTTTTATTTAATACCTTTTTCAACTGTATCAGATATTTATTTCATAAAGAATCCTTGCTAATCGAAACAAAGGAAATAAACTTAGAAACTTGTTAGTACAATACAAGATTTTGTATACATTACAATATGACATTACCCAAATGTAGAACCGTTCTAGTCCAACGCAATTACGTATATATTGGACTAAAAGACTACAATGGATAGATTCTTGAAACAAATTTTTTTTATAATTTAATAAAAAATTAAAGGATATAAAATCAAATTCTCAAATGTTACCAAATAAAAATAAAGAACAAAGAAAAAGAAATTCTCAGTCAGTGCTTCCTAAAGAGAACGTCAATATTGCACCGGTTTCGTCCTTATTAAGACTCATCAGCAAGAAATAGACAATCTCGACTCCAGTCTCTAATGGAGTCTCGCATACATTGATGGTGGTTGAGAGAGTGCATCTGCACTTAGGAAACAAAATCAAAGCTCGCTGTGGTACCTAGCTCCCTGGAATAAGGCGGAATAATAACCAGGCTGTGAATTATCAGAGGCATTGAATTCTAATTCTTAAATGTGACCAATTTAAAAATTAAAAAAGGTGTTTTACAAAACAAAAACAAAATAATATATTTAAATTCTCAAAATAGTCACAAACCGATAGTTTTCTGTTTTTCTCTAAATACAATATCAGTAAAATAAAAAAGGACTAATGGTAGTATTTTCTACCATATAAGACGTAGTTTAAATCCTGGAAAATTAGTGAGTAAATAAATGTGGCAATAGGACCCCTTTAAATGGTGGCAAAATTAACCCTCAGACGGAATAGGCAGTGATGGCTGTAAACAAAATATTAGGGGTTCACAATATCACAAAATATAGTGTTTTAGAAAGGTATTTGTGAACCCTCAATATTTTGGCGGCGAACCGCCACTGGGTGATAGCATGGGGTTACAAAGGGTTAAGGAAAACAACCACTTGGGATATGAATTCTATCTACCTAATTATACAAATAAAAACGTCATATTCTATGAAAATTCGAGGGACTGAGTTCCACGGCAAAACTCCATTAAAGAAACAATTTGATTTTAAACTTTAAAACAACTGCATAATATTTGGTCCCTTTACCCCTTAAACCTACTCATGTAAAAATATATGGGTCCTTTATCCTTAAGTCTGTTAGTGTAAAAATATTTAATTTCTTCGCTCCTTAAGCCTGTCCATGTCAAAATATTTGAACCGTTTTCCCCTTAACTCGCCTGTATAAATATATTTCGAATTTTTACCCCTTAAGCCTTCCCATGCAAAAATAATATTTGAGCTTTTATAATATATATTAAAACTCTATAGGTAGGTACTCCCATCGTCCGCTTAGGGGTCATCCATAAATTATGTCACACTTTAAGAGGGGGTCGACGAAGTGTGACATTGTGTAACAAGGGGTGGAAGAGGTCTTACATTTCGTTATGTCACATTTGTAAAAAACTTTGTAAAAATAATTTCTACTTAGCATCAGCTCTAAAACTTAGAGATGCTGTCGGCGTAGAGTAGAAAAAAAGCAATCCGGTATACTTGAAGTCAGCAGTTTTTGGTGGCGCAGCTGATGAACGATGTCGCACTGAAACTATAAGCTGCTGCAAAATATTGGACGATTTACAAATCAAACTTTGTATTCAAGGATATAGTTATACTTCAAACTTCTTCTCAGACGAGTCAATACAGAGGAAGGAAAGAAACACATCGTAACTGTTCCTGTTAAACTATTTAAACCAGATACTACACTACATTTGAAACAAAAAGATGGCACATTCTGTACTGCTACGATAAGAAACCTTGAATCTTTAGCTTCAATTTTGGGCCCTGATCAAGTTTTTTTTTATCAATGGATGAGAAAACACGCGTGCCTTTAGGTATTATAGCAGCAAATGCTCAAGCACCAATATTATTGCACCTTGATTATCGTGTAAAATTACCGGATCATGATTTCGTGGTCGCGGAAAAACATAAATTTATTCCTTCTGTTTATGCTGGTATTGTAATAAAGAAAGATGGTGAAGGGAAACCTGAAGCTGTGACACACTCTGGGCCTACATACCTAGCAATTCGTAGTGGAAAACATTCTTCCTCTAATGCAGAGACTCATGCCACAGACATACGTAGACTTTCTGAAACACCTGATTTCAAAAACTTTATGAGAACTCGAGAAGGTTTTGTAAAACCCGTATTTATTTTTACTTGCAATGGTGGTCCCGACGAAAATCCACGATACGAGCGAGTTATAGTTTCAGCTATACAACATTTTAATATGATTGACTTGGATGGTATTTACATTGCCACAAATGCTCCAGGAAGAAATGCTTTCAACAGAGTGAAACAACAAATGGCACCTCTAAGTCGCGAACTTACTGGTGTTCTATTAAACATGACAATTTTGGTTTACATCTTGATTCCAGTAATCGAACTACTGACTTGGAACGAAACTTTGAGAGTGCAGGCATTGTGCTGTGTCATATTTGGAGCCAACTGCTCATTGATGATTTTCCTGTGGCTGCCGAATACATTGTGTTAACACATACTAGATTGAATATTGAACAGGCTAAGGTATGGAAAAATGATGCGACTTGGTACACAAATCACATGCGTAAATCACAATATTTATTATAAATAATAAAATGCAAGGTTGTCCCTTGTTGTAGTGTGTGACCATCTAATCTTTGGCGACTATTACGAGAGGGGTTTTTACCACCACCTGTTTTAGTTAGACAGAAGGTAAATTTGATCCACTGTTACTTCATCTTTGGATCTCCGAGCATCATTACATTTGAAGCAAGTTCCGTATGATAGCTATTGTCCCAGTATCGAGGCATACTTGTTTAAGCGATCGTGTGGCATCTATGGTCAATATTTTGCATCGTACAAGGCCAGATAAATTCTTTGTTTGGATAACGATGATGCCATTTGGTTGGATGAAAAAGATGTTGACACAACGATTGTTCCTGGCAATAACAACCCAAACAAGACCGAAGTGACTGCTAATAATTTCAAGGAGTGGGTTTAAAGTTTATGGACTCAAGATGAATAAGTTTGAATTTTTGAATGATATAAGTAATCGTTTTTTGCTTTGTTAATTTTTTCAAATGTTTGGTATTATGTTGATTTTATTAAAAATAATTTAAATGGAAGTAAAACTAATTTTGGAACTGCTGTTTTAATTTAATAATTTCTAGATGTAAAATTGCAAAATATGTGACGTCACACTAGGAAAGGGGGAGTCTCACAAATGTGACCAGCTGTGACTAGGACGGGGGACCGATAGATAAATTCATTAGGATTTGGTTTTGGTATTATTTCATAACTTTCTTTTGCCTTATATGAAGGAAATACATTTAGTTATAATCTGAACTTTGATTGATATACTACCTATTAAATATTTAAACAAATATATAGTTAATTATAAAATGGTTATAACTTAATCTTAATACACAATAGGGCCATTTACCGTTTTAATCCTAATATAAATTCACATACGAGTTCCATTCTGGAGTTCGCTAAATGTTGTGCAAAAATTGTCGCTCAAATAGCATCGTGCAAATATCACACTCTATTTTATTCACGTTAAATCTGCATTTATTTCATTTTAAAACAATTATTTTCACTTATTCTCTCCCATACAATAAATAACTACTCAATCAAAATGTTTTAATAGTCATCCAAATTTTTTTTAAATTATATTTGACATTTAAGAGGACAGCAGTACAGAAAGAAATATCTGGTTTTACAGTTGATAAGAATATGTAACAACCAACTAGCCTAAAGACCATTTGTAACTACTGATAGGTCTTTAGCTACTGTTTTTAATATACTATTAAGGGATTAGGGCAGCGCTGTCACCAGCCAAAGGGCCCTGGAGTCCAGAAGGAACATCCATTCACCAGTGGCAAATAAAAAGTTATAAAAAAATAAAAATTATCCCTTAATAGCATAGTCGAGCGGTTTTTGGCAACTACTTTTAGACTCTTTTAGTCTTAAGGGAATAGAAACGCCGAGGCTTTTCAAATGCTCGGAATATTTTACTGGTTTGGAAAAAGGGGAGAGATTGATAATAATTATTAAAACCTTAACAAATGTATATTTACAATAAGTACAAAATTTGACTAATAGTCTTAAGAAAGAATGAATAAAATTACATTTAGGGAATAAAACACTATAACTACATAATAATATAAAAATATGCATAAGATAATCATGATAATTCGGGACGAAAATGTAAAATTGACATTTATATGTAAATCAATTAATTACTATCAAACAAAACACTTTAAAAATAACTTAAAGATATTTAAAAACTTTACTCTACACATTTACTTTGATTTGGGACTTAAAGAGTCCCAAAAAACCGAGAGCTGTCTCCCTAGGCGAAAGTTCTGAACCTCGATTGGGAGTGTTTACTCGAAGGCCTTTCTTTCTGTCTCCTCTCTATATAAACCAAAATTTACGTGATGGTTGTATTTTTAAAAATGTCACGCTCAATGTAGCCATTGACTAGATTAATAACCTGATTGTTTGTTTTATTTTTATACGAGTCTTCCTTTTTAATTTTTAATTTAAAACATTAAAATACTTATTTAGAATTTTTGGTAAATTCTTTTTATTTTTCAAATAACAATAATAATGCCAATTATTACACATATCCATCCATATAGTGAAATCGGAACTGTTGTTGCAGTGCATAAAATAAGCTCTATAAGAAATGCATTGCATTTTAAAAACATTGATGGTAAAAGCACTAATGTTAAATTGGGAATTCTGAAAATCAATAGGATTCTCAATAAGATTTAGAAACGTATTAAAAAAGGAGGATTAGAAAAATTTTTCGTAGGCCAAAATGCAATACTAAAGCCCCCTAGGTACTGAGCCTCAAATCTGGCAACTCCACTCAATCGTTTATCGAAAGTAGCATGTCTACGGAAATTCACGTGATCTGACAATACCGCTCATATCCTTTTTCTCCAAAATAATGCGGAAAAATAAAAAAATCGGAATCGTAGTAAACCGGTAGTGGCGTGTGGGTTAAAAATTTCACGAGACCGTACTCATGCATAGCCTACTCGAAATAGGAAACGCACATTACATAATTTGCAAAGTTGGCTTTGATTTTATGTCTCGTTTATGACTTGTGTGAGCGAGTAGTGAGTGTGTCTGTTTCTGTGCATTTTTTTTGTGTTTTTTTTTTAAATTAACGATGTATCCGTAGGTAGGTAGATTGGAGAAATTTTGCCAAAATTATTTCTATACGGTTTTGTGGGAAATTGTTGGCAATCACAGGATTTTAATTAGAGGTGAATATATATGAAACGATCTGTGTTATTGATTCGAGTAACACCTTTCTAATGTCAGGTGCGGGCATAAAATGTACTTAATTAAATTAATGTCAAATTTATGACATGTATTCAAAGTATTTGTTTAATATTTTTAAATAATAATCTATTTTTGTCCATTCGTAATTTTTTTGTCTCTCATACTCCTTTTCTTTATCTTGCTTCCATACTTGATTCTCTTCTCATGTCCTCTAAACTTTTCTTTTTATTATTTTGACTTTAGAAATACAACTTGAGACCACTGCAAAGTAAAAGAAGCAGAAGTTGTTAAACCTTGGATGAGATGGATCTTAAAATGGAAGACAACAGCAAAACCGTACTCAGAATGTGACAGTTATTGTCCAAAGTTAGACAACATAAAAAAGCTAAAGAAGTTCATTCTTCTAACGAGCTTTATATCTCATGGATATCTAAATTTCACATGCAGATTACTATATTGCGGCTATGATCATAGATCCATCTTCTTCTTTCCTCATATTGTTGAATGTATTGCTTGTAAAATATTAATTGATTTTTGTTTTCTGTATGTTATTTCTGTCTTTTATTATTAGGTACTTTTCTTAGCTTCTCTAATTTATATTGTTAGCAGTATGTAAATATACCTCTCTCTTCTGAATCAAATATGATTCGTGTGACAAATTTTATTTGTTATATTTGTGTCCCCTGTTACTGGTACTCATATTGTCTACTTAGAAAATCATCTGATATCAATCACTAAGAGATTTAGGTCTCTTCTTAGAATGAAATGTTTCCTAAAGAGTCCTAAAGTGTCCTTTTCCGATAAGCATAAGATGTTGATATTGGGTGGTTTAACTGTAACTATACCTGTTAGCAAAGTACATGTTTTATTGAGAGGTGCTGGCAGGTTAAAAGTAGAAAACTATTTAAAAAGTTTCAACTATTGCTTTTGGAATTATCTATTTATTTGGCCCTTTTAACAACCGTTTTACAAAATATTGATACATAAATGTAGACCAAAAGTTTTGTCAGCTCTCTTCTTAGCTAGGAGATCTGTTTTCTAGTTTCTCAATATCCCGGCACCTACAGTGGTCTTATGTGTTACGCCACTGTTAGATCTGCATGTTCAATTCTAAAATACCTCATTCATATTTCTGTAAAATCGTCTGAAGACGCCGCTGAGGCCATTGTAAAAACCATTTTCCGTTGATCTAATATATCTTGTAATTTTTATTAATAGCCCATAATTTATTATCAATTATTTACCTGGTACACGTCACTGTGTTTAGTTAATGAGTGTAAAATTGGCAGAACGCCCAACGGCCACAGCTCACTCGGATTCATTTTGGACGAAAGCCACTTTCGAACCAGACGTTGCCACCGACATGAGAAAATTTTCTTCTTATTTTGGTTTTTATTTTTCAAATACCCCTTCTCGAAATTTACCATATTTAATTATTCGTAAGTAATGAATGAATTGAATCAAGAAGTAGAATTTATGGAAATGGAAGTCAATGTTAGCAAACTAAAATTAGAATCCCAAACTTTTATATACGCCAGGAGTTAATTATTCTTCTACGACAATTTGTTTAATAAAAATAATATTGAAACTTTTTTGGTCCTTGATACTTTTTTCAAAAACCAACGTTTTTCCTATTAGCACATGTTTGCTTGCTATTTCAATGTTCGTTATATACACGCAAACAAATATTGAATAATAGTAGTTTGTGCAACAAGAGTGGATATTTACAAGCCACTCGAGTTGTACAGTATATTTTTAGTACGACCCATTAACGAAAATCTACAAATAATAAAAATTATTTTAGGTTATTAAGATAAAATAACTAATTTAAAAATAATTTATTACTTTTACTAATTTATAAAATAAAATAAACAAAAAAATAAAAAAAGATTTAATTTGTCCCCATCTGTTTTATTTAAATTAACAATAGTAGTTTGTTAATAAAGAGTGGATATGATGGCCATATCGCACGAAGACGAAATTTAAGTACGAAGCCGTAGGCGGAGTGCTCAATCGTCTTAAGTGCAATGTGGATAATCCACTCGATTGAAACACTAACGAAAATTCACAAATAAAAAAAATATTTTATGTTATTGTGATAAAATAACTTATTTTAAAATAATGTATGACTTTTAATAATTTTTAAAATAAAATAAACAAAAAAAAAAAAATAAAAAAGTTCATTT